AAATATGGCAATATAAAAGTAAAAAAATACATATTTAAGGAAAGACAGAATGGAAAGAGAGAGAAAGGGTAGGAGTAGATAGTAGAGGAGATATGACCACCCATGGATCCAGCAAAGAGATTTGATTGTTGTAATTTAGATGTCCCTCGGTCTATGTGATAAGTCGCAGTCTTGATCCGTCGGGGGTGGGGGAAGCCCACAAAGAGTAAAGTTTAATGGGTGAATACACACTCAAGTTCAGGTGGGAATGCCCGGGTACTTCTCCTGGGGGGAGTTTTACACTGTCTGATGCAGCACTGTGGGTCATGCAGAGTCGTCCTCTGCTGGAAGCCTCAGAAATGAGTCAGGGGATGCCTCAGGGGTCTTTGATGGTTTCTGATCCCTTCTAAGATGTGATGGCTGTTTCTCTTGCCAAAGTAGTTGAGTCAGCTGTGCTTTATCAGAAGGGATTAATATCTTCAGGCCTAGGTTTTGACCTCCTGGAGTTTTTGCACCTGAGACAACTGTGTCAGGGAGGAAATTGGCATGACAAAAAGCATTATCCCAGAAGCAAGATTTGCTTCTTATCAGCTAAACAGAGGTGAGTTTGATGGGCTCGTACCCCTCTGCACCTCAGCTGTTCTTATGTGGATCAGAGGTTTTGTCACCACATCCAAAAAATCTCCCTTCCCCTCCCGGGGGAGTGCAAACTTAGCATCGGCAAAGCACCCTGGTGCTTTTGCAAGCAGCCGAATTTTTGAGTCCTTGGCCTTTAACATTCCAGTCTGTGACATGAGGTAATTAAAGAATTATTTCGGAGGGGGTTTCATGGTTTAAAAATATCCACAAGATCCTCCTATAAATAACAATAGTTTAAAGCACACTGAGCAAACCATGTACTGGATCAGCTAAAGCTCCTTGCAAAGCTGTAAATGTCTTTAGGAGGGATACAAATGGTATCTGGAAACTTTGGTCTTTGTAATTTTAAAGCATGTTCACCAAAAAGGTCTTTGTAGTAATTAATAATGTTTTGATCATTACTACAAATATATATTTTTACCATTTAAATTGGGAATTCAGTTTAAGTCCAAGAAACAGTTATGCAGTATGCCAGCTGCAGTATCTCCAAGAGGTAACCAGTTTGTGGGATCTAGGTACTCTAGTTTGAGGGATTATGGAGGGAATGGGATTTTCAGGCTGCTTAGCTATTGCTGACCCAAGGGGAGCAGCTCTGCACCAACCACGTTCTCCTCAGTGTGGATCAGGGAAGGTGTATAGTACAGCTTTTTCAGCAGTGGCATGGGCTGACTGAAATAACCCATGAAGCTGTACACTAGCCTGCCACACACACCTGACCCTTAGACACAGGACACAGATCTGCAGGAGCTCTTGTGCTTGTCAGTAGTCTTTTCCTTCCTTGATCATTCCAAGCTCTAGTCCATGCCTACTGAAAGCTTTAGTGGCAGGGAGAGTCCTAATTGTACAGTGGAAGAGGGGAAAAAAGATTGTTCTAGTCCAGAATTGTTGGTGTCAATATTATTCAGACCTAATATGAATTTATAGAGGTGTAGATTTCCCACTGTTTGAATCTAATAAAATAATAATGTTTAAAATTCCAGTGTGACCACATTGTTTGCATGTGTGTTGACTTGGAGTTTTGTATTTATGTGTGTGTTGACTTAGATAAGCTGCCAACAGACAGAGGAAAACTAGTAATGGAGCATATCTTCAAATTGCAAGAGTTCTGTAGCAGCATGGTTAAGCTTTGCCTAGATGGATATGAATATGCATATTTGAAAGCAATCGTCCTCTTCAGTCCTGGTATGTAATTATATTCAGTGTAAAGCTTAAATCTGTGCTATTTTTTGCCACTAACTTCTACCTGTTTCATTATATGTGGTTACTCTTACCTGTAGAATTACTACTACATTTGTTGGGGAATCTTGAAAGATGTGTAACAAGGACTGTAGGAAGAGGATGGTTAATCTTTTAATGTAAATAACTGAATCTTGTTTTGAGGACACTGATGCCGAGAAAAGGCTGGAAAAGAACTACTCCCAGACTTGTGTCTCTGAGTAGCATGGATTTGTTTATTCAGCACTGGGCACAAGGGGATCGCTCCACCAAACTTGTGCAACCAGGGACAGAAACTTCACAGTTTATATACATTAAATGCTCATACATATTCACTATTCCCAGGAATGGGTGGTTATTATTATAATTAGTTCTTGGAAATCATTATCATATACTCCTCCTCCATCTCCTCCCTCCTGCCATCAGTCCCATGGTCCTGGTGGTCGTTCGGTGGTTGTGAAGATGAAACTCCTCCTCTTCCTCAGTACCCTTTGGACACCTTATTATGCAACCGTTTACCCCTTTCTACAGTTTTGCATGCCTTGCTGACCTTGCCTCTATCTTGAACATTTTGTTTCTTCATTCCATACCCCACATGGTCTTAGTTTTCCCCCTGCTGCCAAGGTTTTGAGTCTAATTAGTTCTACTGCCTTATAGATAAGGTGCATCATTTTGCCAACCAAGCCATATCTATACTATGTGATCCTTGCTATTTTGCTAATTAAGCTGAAATAGTGCTATTAGTAAAGTTATTCTTCATGCTTTCAGCTTTAACTGTTCAATTCCTGCTTTCAGTCTACTTCTTGGTATCAACTTGAGTTGTATTCTTGTCTCTGCCATTGATGCATTTGTTCTTTTGGGTTTGGGTTTTTGGTGGGGGTTTGGTTTTTTTCTTAGCACTTTTAATCCTGTGCCTCCTTTCTGGGGTACATTTTCTGAGAACTGGCAGTTTTAATTTTCCGAATTGTTGCTCTTGCACATCCAGCTGAGATGGATTGAAGTTGGGTTTTTAGTGTATGAAAGACTCTGGGCATTGGTTCTCACTTGCAAAATTGCACAAGCATCACCTCACTCACGTAGGTATTTTGACAATGTATATAGCATTTCTGGTGAATGAACACCACAAACATGCCCTTATATTATTATTTATATCTTGTGAAGAGCATTTGCTTAATGTACTCTCAGTAGCATTAAAGGACATACATTAGAGTGAAGGTAAAATAGTTATTATTTTCTTCTGGGCAGTTAGTCTACAATAGGGACAAAAAGAGTCCTGTGGTTATGGGAGATAGCGACTGAGTAGTTAAGACTGTGTAACCCATATACTTGCACTGTAGAAAATCACAAAATTAGTCTTCTTTTCTTGAAAGGTTGCTCTAGGAAAGAAACAAAATGATGGAAAACTACCTCAAGCCCATTTTTCTAGCCTGTTGTGTACTAGGATTTATGATGGAATCTGTTGGCCTGTGTGGAGAAATCAGGCCTGTTAGACACCTGGAAATGCTTCTCTAGGAACCTTGCACTTGCAAAGCAATACTTACTTATTTGTTCAGTCTGAAGTTTGTCTCCTTCCACTTATATTTGACAACACAAAAGGCAGAAGAAAAATATCTTTGGAAAAGACTCTATCCAGCCACATGACTGAGATGAATTTTCTTTAGCTCACATGCTTTCAGAATCACATTCCTAATGATGTGTAGCTGCTTTAATGGGAATGTGTTGTCAATACTTTTGATCCTGTGAGCCATATAACAAAATCTTCATATACCTGTAAGTCATGTTGAGTACCTTGAACAGAAGGGATGTTCTGACAGTGATTCACAGGCCAGAAGTTATAGCAGGGATTTTACTGCTCGGCTGCAGTATGGGGCTGGGCTGCACATGCAGCAGAGTCCTAGGGTAAGAACCTCTGCTTTAGCTGGACCTGGTGATTTGCTGTCTTCCATAGCTGGAGACTTGAAGATTTCTGAAATCTTCTGTGCCTAGGCAGCTGTTTGACTGGCACAATGCAGCCTTGGGCAGAGATTAGTGTAAAGCGTGTGCCGAGAAGACTTGACATCTTTCTCAATGGCTGCAAGTGTTGTAGCAGTGGCCTTCAAACCACCCTTTCCAGAAGCTGACTTCTAGCTGTGTTTCTGACACTGCTCTAAAAGCAGCGCCATGAAGTGATGCATTTTGCATGTCAACAATAACTCTTCAAAACATATTGCTTCTGTGTGAACTTATTATTTGAACTCATGCTTTCAGAACGACTGAGTTACTATATAGAACAAAATACTCCTCTGAAGTGATGCGTTCATGGGAGTCCAACATGTCACATAACTGTTAAATTGCTCTCGAAGATTCTATATCTGCAGAGCCAAAATCTGCTGGTTTGTTATGCTACAATGACAGTAAAATTTTTACGTTAAGATGGCTGAATAACGAAAATTACAGACCATGTACAGAGTTCAGAATTAGTGGATAATCATTTCCAAATGTGACTTGGCAGTTAGGGCGATAGCCTCTCAGTTTAGCAAGACTTAGGTTTCAAGTGTTTAAATCACTGCTAAAAATTATATATAACACATTTGAAATTTTTGCACTAAGTACTTGAAAAAATGATCTGCTACAAATCTGCAGTTTTTAGGAAACAAATGGATGATAGCTTTTTATTCTGCCTTTCCACTGTTGTTAATTTTATCCTTAACTTCCCATCCAAATACTATTTGTGCCTACAATATTCCTATAAATGTCAGTGTATAGAAACTGCTCCTCTGCTGCTACACAGAGCACAGCTGTATCATCAAGATTAATGTGAACATTGCAAGCACTGCCTTGATTTGAACTCTTCGAAATGTCTGGTTTTATTTATGGAATAACTAAGTAAAACATAAACAGAGAGGAAGAGAAATATAAGGAGGTAGTGTCCTCCACTGAAACTGAAGTTGGCTGCAGCTACCACGGAATTATTTCAGTATGTTTATAATTACAATTTACAGCCTGTATGGATTTTAGTGCCTCTTCTGTAGAACAGGTATAGCAATGAAGAGGGTTGGTTTTTTTTTTTCAGATCACCCAGGTCTAGAAAATGTGGTACAGATTGAGAAGTTTCAAGAAAAGGCTTACATGGAGTTCCAAGACTATGTAACAAAAGTGTATCCTGATGATACTTACAGGTCTGTAAACTCAGATATTTGATTGAGTCTCTTTTCAGAGTCATTGGTGGTACTGATTTCTACAGTGTTTCTAATAATAGATATAATACATTTTCTTCTTTCCTCCTTAAAGGTAAGAAATTACCTTTAGAACACTTAAAATATTATGCAGGTGCTCATACATGTTATGAGTGTTACTTGTCTACTCATTCATTATTAATCTCTAAAACTAAATATCAGAAATAAACATTTTTAACATTGAATTTGAGTTGCTCCTATTTGGAATAGTTCCTCATTTAGTCCAAGTCCAAACATTATACAGCCCATGTAATTTACAGGCATGCTCAGGTTTTCTGTACTTCTGAAGACATGACTGAACAGAAATTTAATGATCTACTGATTTAAATATTTAAGCCTTTCATGAACATGAATAGTTAATTTTGACCAGTACTGTCCCATGTAATTTTTTTCTCCTCTTTTGTGAATAAAATAATTATGAATAACACCAAAATCCACAACTTGCTGAGTAACACTTTTTACCAAATCTATTTTCCAGACTGTCCAGACTTCTTCTCCGGTTGCCTGCTCTTAGGCTGATGAGTGCTGCCATCACCGAAGAGCTCTTCTTCGCAGGACTAATTGGAAATGTTCAGATTGACAGTATCATCCCATATATTCTGCGAATGGAGACAGCAGACTACAACTCTCAGATAATAGGTCATGCTGTATAGAAGTAGCAGTCCAGGATTGTGTACCATGGCAGTCATGGTGATGTAAATGCATACCCTGTCTCCAAGAGATGGCAATAAGCCTTCTGATGCACCTCTCCAAAGAAGGTTCATATTCCTCCTTTCCAGTACACTTGGGAAATGTGGTGGAGTGTAATAGGATATAGGATCACTTCCTATTTTTCTTCTGATCTTCAGTGACTTGTAAATTAACTTGATATCTGAAGAAAGTCAAGAATTGTCCATCCTATTTTTGTAGATAGATGAACTTGGAATATTTGTTTATGAAGTCCAGGCTTATGAGGAAACTGAAGAAACTTTGACTGAACTAAGGTATCTCAACTTAGTTTGATGTTTCAGACAAATAAATTAACTTTCCTCTCTGAGTTGTGTTTTCAGTGTTTTGCTACTAGTTCTTTCTCACTGATCAAATCAAAAAAATACATGATCAAACATCAGAAAAGGCCAGTGTTTTCATGCAAACAAGACCAAACTTAGTTTTGGCTGTTGTTTTGAAGAGAGATTTGTTTCTTGCTGAATTAAACACTGGGTACCATTGCAAGTGCAGGGAAAGTAGAGGAAGTTCATATTTTAAAATATTCAGGTGTTATGTGGATGCAGTTGATCAAAAGTAAAGTAGCAAAGAGTCTGTACTGACTGTTTTGCAGATGCCACAGAATACTGTGTTGTAGTGTTATGTCATGGTAGGCATCAGCTGTTTTATACTATGAAAAACTAACAGAGAAGTGTGTACTGCAGGTATTCATAGACAGCACAGTCCTGGTTTTTCTGGTCTCTGAACTTAAAGCTTTTTCACCTTACCCCTCTCTCTTTTATACTCAGTGCCCAGTGATGGAGGCATTCTAGATGCTGCTTAACATATGTCCATGTCTTTAGTTTGTTATCACTGATAGCCTTTGGCAATGTAATTTTCTTTTCCAAGCAGTCCTGTATGATTATTTTTTTTAATTTGAGTTTGTCAAATCCAGTGTCCCTCCCTATGGGAGTATGGTCTCTGCTGCTTTTCCTTTCCTTGATACTCCATACATGTTGCCTGATTAATACTCCATAGCTCCATCTAAGGATGGGTGAAAATGGTAACACTGGTCCCTCTATGGACCCCTTAGGGACACCACTTGTCACCTATGTCCATGGAGACTCAGTCATTGACCACTACCCTCTGGATGCAACCATCCAGCCATTTTCTTATCTATCTAACGGTGCACTCATCAAATCCATCTCTCTCCAATTTAGGAAGAAGGATGTGGGGGTCTGCACCACAGGATGGGTCATATCTAATCCCACAGACCAAAGCACTTGGTGCTGAGGACTCCTGGTGGGATGGAACCATCACCCCCTGCTCTGCCTTGCTCTTTGGAGTGTTGGACCTGGCCATGGCAGCTGAGCTTTTCTCACATTCTGCCACTTGAAGGGTGTGGAATTCAAGTTCTTCATCTGTGTTCCCTGGACTATCCTGTATCTCAGGGGGTGTGCAACTGATCAGCAGAGTTTGTGGAAATACAAAAGACAGTTGCTGCCCATCTGCTGTGCTTGCTCTCTCCCCAGGGGTTAGAGGCCCATCTTATGGTCTGTAGGACCAAGTTGCAGATGGGAGGTAGCTCATTCTGCAGTTCAGCTCTCCTCAGAAATTCTGGCCTTGCTTTCTAGCCCTTCACTATCCTTAACCCCCTTCTGGCCCTAACAGGCACAGGAGATTTACAGTCGTCTATGTTAAGCCTTTAAAGGAAGCTGACAACACGTTACTCCTGAAGATTCTGAAGGTAGTTTCCCAAGCATTCCAGTACGCTTGGAAGAGTTTTGCTCCAATATTCTATAGATTCATGTCAACCAGGTAATAGTAAGATAGAAATAAAAGTTTGCTTTCCTTCTAAATGCAGCAAATCTCTCTCATCCTTGCAGAAATCTTTTACTCCACAGCTTGAGCCCCAGGTTTAATATGCAGTTCTTTGTTTACAGCTGGCCAAAAGATTCAGCTGATGCAGCCTCTTGCATGGTACTGTCCAGCTTCAGAAACAGCTGAGAAAATACCTGTGTATCTACAAATGTAAATTTCTAGCAACTGAATCCCTCAGCTCAGCCATCATTATCATAAAACAGCCCAGGCTTGAAGGGACCTTGAAAGATCATCCAGTCCAACCTTTCATCGGAACAGGACCCTGGATGGGACTATTTAGCACCCTGTCCAATTGCATCTTGCAGTGACTGATTGTTCTCAGCACAAAAAAGTGTTTCTTACATTAAGATCTAAAAGACTTTTCAAATATAGACAGTGCCCTTGTGCCAATGTCAGCCACTTCTCTTAATATTCTAGGATGGATTTCTTCCGGGCCCATAGACTTCTGTGGGTTGAGCCCTTGCAAGAGGCTGCAGACTAGCTCTTCACTACTGGCTGGTTGACACACGTGTTGTTATAGGTACTTGATCTGGTGCTCTGCACTTCAGCTATGCTGGTCAAGACAGAAGCAAAGAAGATACTGAGAACCTCTGCCATGTCAGCATGACGAGTAGGTAGTTTCCCTGCCTAGTTAGGCACTGGGTTTGTATCTTCCTGTGCTTCTGCTTGCTACTCACGTATCTGTATAAACCCTTCTTCTTGTTCTTGACCTCTTTGGCTAATTTCAGTTCTGTTCAAGCTTTAGTGTTACTGCGTGTGTCTCTGCACGCCCTAGCAAGGTGTTTCCAGTCCTCCATGGGTGTTAGCTGCCTTTGCACAGCTGGTATGTGTCTTTTTTCTTTTTTGTCCTTTTTTTGTCAGAGCACTGTTTCAGAGGGGACAGCCTCAGAACCTGGTTTTCTCTGGATTTCTGTTCTTGCCTCCTCTTTGTGCCCTAGTCTGTTTGAATACAAGTTAGCCTACTTCAGTAACGCCTGGCCTGCCATTACCACTGACTGCTGCGTCAAGACTACTCTCTTAGGATGTGTTTTCCCATAAGCACAGGAACCTTGGTCATGTTTCACATCAGGTTCTTTAAATTCAGGCATTTGTGTATTGTGAGGGCCAAAAGCCCCTAATCTTAGGATCTTGGATACCTCTGATATTTGGACCTCTATAGAGCCAAAGTGCATACACACAACACATTGCAAAGGGCTCTGGCTACTGTTAGGTGACCTTTTTCCCAAAAAAATTTCTTACATTTTTCTTAATCATTAATTTTCATTGTAAGTTGAGGAGTGATATAAATGTAGGGTGCAGTTGGTCTATGCTGCCTGCCAAGTAATCTCATCTTCATGATGATCTAGAAGCTGCATCCCATACAGGAGATTAGCTTCAGGGTTACTCGCTTTGCTCAGCAACATCTTCATTAATTATTTGAAAAGTATTTATTTAGTCATTCTTAAGCTGTAAACTCATACTTTTGGTAAGGAATGAGTCATAACTGGTTTTTCAGGAACAGGAGCTTTAAAACAGGTGAATACAGGAACAAATGTGTGTTCCTTGTTTGTGCAGGTTAACCATTGCAGTTGTCTGAGAACAGTGCAACAGCTCATGGACAAGCTAAACGATGAAGTTCTGGTTTTGATGTTTTGGTTATTTTAAGATAACTTCTGCTCAGTTACATGGAGCATGTCAAGTTACCTTCAACTCAGCCCTTACTGTTTCTAACAGCTATTTTTTACAATGACATGATCTCACATTGCCACCTGTGATTTATTGTCATTTACAGCATTGTGAATAAATGTTCTTGGAACTGAAGGAAAGGCTGGCCAATGTGGCTGGTTTCTGTCCTGCTGTTCAGTAACATTGTTAATGGGCTAACAAAAATGAGAGTATTGAAGCTCACTCCACCATGGATCTTAAATTAAAGGTGAAAAGAAGTCACAAAACTATGAGATATTTTATTTTTCAACTTTTTGATCTTCAGCACTCTTGACAGTTTTCAGAGCCAATCAAAATTTAACCAAACTGTGGCATTTACTGGCCAAAAAACAAGAAGGCTCTTTTCCAGTGAAAGGACAAGCTTAGATTTACCAGCTTAACTTTCAGTGTTAAGAGCAAGAAACATAATTTTAATATAAATCGTTTAGAAATCATTTAGAGAAATATAAATTGTGTATAAAAAACAATTTTCTACAGTTTAGAATCCTATTGTTTAAAGATGAGAGAACTTACACATAATAAGCTTCCTAGCTCAACCATTTCTCACTGAAGCATATGCTGCACATGTATACCTGGTTTAGGTTGCTTGGTTCATGCTGTCAAAGTTCCTAATGCAAATAATTGCTGCATTTTAAACATCTCCAAAAGTGCATTCATTGCAGTCCCTTCTCCAGCTACAGACTGGCCTGTCCATACATTTATTCTTGTTGCGTGAGCTTCGGTGTCAGTGAAAGTCTGTCCATTTTGAAACTGCTCTGTTGGGTCTTTGTTCAGCCTTTGCGGTTTGCTAGTACATCAGTCTCAGTGTGAGCAGTGCAATGTCACTGTAGGTGTCTTGCTGTTGTAGAAAAACCTCCACTTGAAATGTCTTGAAACCTGGCTAAATTGGTAAATTCTATTTTGGGTGTATTTTTAGAAATAAAATGTAACTTTCTATTATAGAAAACAATTGCAATATCCTATTGCTTTGTTAGTGTTTTATATGGATTGTCTTACGGACTTAGGACACTGTATATGTTACAAAGAGTTTGTGGATCTTCCCCATTTCATCATACAATGTAGTATTGTCAGTTATATTCAGTCTCTGGGATTTGTGATAGCTGCAATATCTTGCTGTTTGCTGATCTTTGTTAGCTATTAACCCTTCGTTTCCATGCTAATTTCTGGCCCATGAAGTTGAAAATTAATAATTTATTGTAAAACTTAATTTACCTTTTCTTTTTAAAATACTGCATAGAAATATGTATTGTAATGATGTCTGGTCACAGATCTTCATGTCATATAATGCAATAATTTGGAAATTATTATTTGATTCATTATGGATCAGTGTTTGGTTGGAAGTTATAGTATGGCTGAACAAAGGGGTTTTTTCTTTTGAAAGAAACAGACTTCATATGTTCAAGTAAATGTATCTCAGTTTTAGATACTACTGGATAAATAATGAATTTATTAATGTTTAAAATTGTGAAATTATCACCAGGTTTGGTCTATTCCAGAATTGATTTCTCAAGGATAATTGAAAGAGTTTAGGTTTTATTTAGTCTTCTATTATAAATGAGTGTGGCATTTGCATGGTTTTTATCATGAAGCAAATTAATGTCCCCCTGAGGTTTGTAGTGTGCACTAGTAAAAGATAAAGTTTGGGTGATGCCATGAGTTTATTAATTACAAGAGCTGGAAATAAGTATTTAGAGTCTCTTCCCCATCAAAAATTACTCCAGGCTCTATCTTCCCTCTGTTTAAAAAACTTACTTGGTACTTAGA